GGGGAGATGGCTCAGTAGGATAAGCGCTTGATGGGCAAACGCCAGGATCTGAGTTCAATCCCTGGTTCCACAAAAACAAAACAAAACAAAACAAAACACCAGATTACTAGCACAGTTTCAATAATTAATACATTGCATATTGTTGTCTTAGTGGTTATTCATTGTACAAGATGCAGACATGAAACCCTGTCCACAAACACTATTAGAACAAACCTCTCTATTCATTGAATTAAGAGAATACAGCTGTATATCTATCCTAACTATTTTGAATATACATATACAAAATGGTCATTCATTTGTATCCCCCTGTTTAGTTTGCTGAATCCAATCCTAGTTTTTAAGGAGTCTCCACGCTGATTTCCATAATGGTTGCACCAGTCTACATTCCCACCAGCAGTGGAGAAGGGTTCCTTTCTCCCCCACAGCCTCTCCAATACTTGTTGGTTGATTTCTTTATGATAGTCATTATTTTTGGGGTGAGATGGTATCTCAGTGTTGTTTTAATTGGCATTTCATGGTTAGCTAGTGATGTGGAGCATTTTTTCATGTATTTATTAGTTTCTAGAATTTCTCCCTCTGAGATGTGTTCAGATGCCTATTTCTAGATTGGGTCTTTAAATTTGTGGGCCCTAATGTTTATTTTTTATTTTTTTATTTTTATTTATTTTTATTTATTTTTATTTTAAAATGGAATAAGGATTTTTTTTTTGTTGTTGTTCCTCGAACGCCTTCAGGGCACTTTTGGCCAGCGGGAGAGTTGTGAGGTTCGAACTCCAGCAACCTGAGGCTGACAGCTTTGTGGAAGCTGCCACTTAAAGGCCTGAGCTAGGGCCAGGCCCCCCCTAATGTTTTTTAATTGTTTATAAATTGTAGATAGACTACCTTTGTCTGAGTGCTTATTAGTTAAGATATTTTCCAAATTTGTGGGTTGTCTTTTCACTCTGTTGATAATTTCTTTTGACATGCAAAAATTGCTCAATAAGAGGAGATTCCAGTTGTTAATTTTTTCAAGTGTTACCCATGCAGCTCGATTTTTGTTCATGAACTCTTTGTCTACCCCTATGTCTTCCAGAGTTTCTCCTTTCACTTCCAGGAGATTTAGTGTTTTTGTTTTAACATTTAGCTCTTTATCCATTTTGACGTTAGCTTAGTGCATGGGGATAAACCTGGGTCAAGTTTTAGTTTTTGGCATATAGAGAGCCAGTTTTTTCAGCATTTATTAAAGAGGTTTTCTTGTTTCCAGTGAGCATGTTTTCTTTATACCAGCCCCTTTGTCGAAGATAAAGTGGCTAGGTGTGTTTGTAATTGCTTCTGCATCTTCTAATCCATTCCATTGATCCTTAGGTCTATTTTTTCTTTGCCACTACCATGCTGATTTTGTAATGCCTCCTGCCTTGTCTTGGTTGCCCAGGATTGCCTTTCCTATTCTAGGTCTTTTCTGGTTCCAAATAAATTTTAGGAATGATTTCTCTAGGTCTGTGGGGTGCATTGGTTTTAGTTTGATAGGGATTGCATTAAATCTGTACAGCAATTTTGAGAGTATGGCCATCTTCACAATGTTGGTTCTTTCTATCCAGGAGCAGGGAATAGCTTTCCATTTTCTGACATCCTCTACAATCTCTTTTTTCAGAGTACTGTAATTGTCATTGAATAGATCTTTGACTTCTTCAGTTAGATTAATTCCAAAGTATTTCATTTTCCTCAGTGCTATTATAAAAGGTATTGTTTCTCTAATTTCCCTCTCAGTGTGTCTGTTATCTGTGTAGAGGAATGCTATTGACTTTTGGGTATTGACTTTGTATCCTGCTATGCTACTGAATTTGTGTATTAATTCTAGTAGCTTCTTGGTGGAGTTTTTGGGGTCTACCGAGTAAAGTATCATGTCATCTGTAATTAATGATAGTTTAAATTCTTTATCTATTCTTATTCATTTTATTTCTCTGTCTTGTCAAATGGCTCTAGCTAATGATTCCAGAACTATATTGAATAGCAGTGGCAATAGAGGACATCTTTGTCTTATACCAGATATGAGAGTAAAAGATTTCAGTTTTCCCCATTTAGAATTATGTTAGCCATTGAGTTGTCATAGATGGCTTTTATAAGATTGAAGAAGAGGCCATCTAGTCCAATTACTGTAGGACTTTGAACATGAATGAGTGTTGGAGTTTGTCAAAGGCCTTTTCTGCATCAATTAAGATGATCGTGTGCTTTTTGGATTTAGCTCTATTGATATAGTGTATTATATTTAAAGATTTGTATATATTGAACCATTCTTGCACCCCTGGGATGAATCCTACCTGGTCATGGTGTATAATCTTATTGAAGATTTGCTGTATTCCATTTGGTAGGATTTTATTGAGGACTTTTGCATCTATGTTCATGAAGGAGATTGGCCAGTAGTTCTCTTTTTAGTTACATTTTTCCCTGGTTTAGGTATCAGTATAATTCTTGCCTCCAGGAATGATTTTGCGAGGACTGCTTCCCTTTCAATTTTTCTTTCCTCTTTTGATGAGGTTAGCTAGGGGCTTATCAATTTTATTTAATCTTTCAAAGAACCACAGTTTTGTTTTGTTAATTCTTTGACTTCTTTTCTTAGTCTTAATTGAATTAATTTCTGCTCTACTTTTTATAATTTCCTCCCTTCTTTGGACTTTGGGTTTCCTTTGCTCTTCCTTTTCTAGACGTTTGAGTTGCAACATTAGGGTATTTATTTGTTCCCATTCTGTTTTCCTAATGTGTGAGTTCACAGCTATAAATCTCCCTCCAAGACCCTCTTTCATTGCATCCTGGGGCTGGGGAAATAGGTCAGTAGAATAAGCGCTTGTCTGCAAGTGCAAGGGCCTGAGTTCAATCCCTGGTTCTGCCAAAGGAAAAAGAAAGAAGAAGAAAGAAAAGAGAAAACTGGAGTGACTTTTTGGGCCAGGGAGATAGCTCAGTAGAATAAGCACTTGCCTGGCAAGTGCAATGTCCTGAGTTCAATCTCCAGTACTGAAAAAAAAAAA